GTACGGGGGCAACACTGAGGGTTGCGATCCGTTGCCAGACACGGAAAAAGACAAAAAGACAAAAAAAAAAAAAAAAGGTTTTAGAGCAAAGAATATTATCAGGGATAAAGAAGGGTTATTTTATAATAATAAAGGAGTCAATTCATCAGGAGGATGTAACAGTCCTAAGCTTGTACCTAATACTGAAACAAGGGTAGCTGGTTAGCTCACCTAGTTAGAGCGTGGTGCTGACAGCACCAAGTCAAGGGTTAAGATCCCCTTACCGGTCATCTTTAAAAAAAAAAAAAATCATGTTCTTTAATGTCACCACCCATACATACCATTAGGACACTAGTTTTGGGGTACTGGGAAACTAAGTCCATGGTGGCAAATACAATATTCCAAACTTCTAATTTCTACCTGAAAGCTCAAATGTTATAAACTTATTTATCAAAATGCTTTCAGTTGTTTGCCCTGAAGTACTAGAATTACTTCATTTTTTAGAAAATATCTGCCAAATATCCGAGTCGGAACATCCGTAGTTTGTCGGTGTTCTTTGAAGTAACAATGGTATTCCGAGAAAAAAACAGCTAGTTCGTCGTGTAACTCAAACAGCTGAGATTTATTAAATAATGAAAATGAGATTTAATTTTATTCCTTATGAAGTTTAAGACCTGATGACCGAATCACCGATTGGGAACCTTGGGACTCAGGACCGGGCTCGCGTTTTGGGATCCACAAGGAGCACGTCCAGGGCGGCCGAGAACTGGGCCGGCCACTCACCTCTCCGTGTTTGTTTTCTCAGGAAAGCCCAAATCCGTGCTCCCGATATTCGAAAGCGATTACAGCCCCGAGCCCCTGACGGTGGAGGTGCAGATCCAGCTGAGCCAGTGCCGCACGGCCGAGGAGGCGCTGCGCTTGTTCGCCGTCTAGGGGCGCGAACATTGAAGGAGCTGTGCTGAGTAAAGGCCGTTCTGAGGACCCCAGCCTCGGTGTCCTTGTGGCTGCTCGTCGAGGAGGGGTGTGGTGCGGGCCGCCCCGTGGGCCTCCCGGAGAGGTCCAGGGAAGGAGGAGCGGCCTCCTCCGGGCGGGGCTTGTGCAGAGACCCGGGAATGGGAACGGTGCAGGTGCTCCCTGGGGCTGGTGTGGCTCGGGCTCTAGGGCTGCTCGGCTTTCGTTCGCCTCGCTGGGGGCAGAATGGCTGGAGTCGGGCGTTGTAGACGCGGCCAGCCTAGGCCGCCTCCTCCCAACGTGCAGCGCTGCCCGTCGTGCTCCGGCCCAAGAGGGGTGTCCCTCGAGGGATCGGGCCTTGCTCTGGAGACGGCGGTCTCTTCCGGCCCCCAACAGCCCTTTAGAGACTGTCGCGTTGAAAGAATGAACAAGACCTTGGCCCTGTCCCACATCGTAGCGTGTTGGGTCACGGAGTCCTGTGAGGACCTGGGGCAGCTGTCACCCCAGGAACAAACGCAGCCCCTCAGGACTGCATCCCACTTAGAGGGGGTCGTGCACCCCCTGAAGCTCGCGCCAGGTTGAGAACCGGGGCTCGGGGGTCTCACAGTTCGGTGGGAGACGTCAGGTAGCAGGTGTGACAGATGATGCACAGGTGGGTGGGGGCGGAGGAGTGGCCCGAGCGGGGACCGTGGCTCAGGCCAAGGGAAGGGCTGGTCACTGCTGCGGGAAGGCGGGCGGCGGATTTCAACGGCTCGGTGAGCAGGCTTGGGATGCCTGCGGCAGGGACGGGGGTCATGAGGGCCGCAGCGCATCTCAGCCTGAGCTGAAACAAAGAACACCGGACAGAACCAAACCTCTTGTTCTGCGCCCCTCAGCACTGGCACCTCCGCTCCCGCAGGGCGCGCTCACCTCCAGCCGGCCCAACACGCACACCTGCAGTCCATTTCCCACGCCCGAAACCCACCTTGCTCTTTTCGCTCCACAGCCACCCCCTAGTCCCAACCCCGCCTTGCATCCCGACAATGCCGCCGCCTCTCGCTGATCTCCCTTCTGCCTTCCACGCACATTATCTAAGCAGCAGCAGGAGTGACCTTTAGAAAAATGTAAATTCTTTTCCAGCCTCTGTGAAACTGTCCAATGGATCTCCGTGGCGCTTAGAATCAAGGCCAGACTCTTTCCCCAACCCTCCGCCGGCCTCTTCCTGAGTCCTCCCACTTCCCCTGCGCCCACTTTGCTCTGGCCACACTCGCTCTTCGCTCTTCCGTTCCTCAACAGTGTCTCATCAGCTACTGCTTCAGGAGCTGTGCTGAGCCTTCGCCCTCTGCCTGGCACATGCTTCTCTGATCTTTGTGTGGTTTGTTCCCTTCATTCAGTTCTTGCTCAAATGTCCCTTTATGCAGGAGGGCTTTCTCAACCACCTTAGGCTGCACTGACCTTCCCCCAGTCCCTTCATCCCATTACACGCTTTAATTTCTTCTCACATATCTGGTTCGTATGAGCTTTGTCTTTTGGTCTGCCTCTTCTCTGTGGAGGCAATGACCCTATGTGTCTTGCTTGCCACTGCACCGCTAGCACCTACAAGACATGCTTTTGTGGTGGTGGTGGCGGTGGGGGCAGTGGCAGATGGGATAACAGGGATGAGGCTAGTGTAGGCAGGCTGCTTAGAAGTGACGAAGGACCAGGATGATATGGCTTGAGGTGAAGAGAAGGGAATTAGGAACAGGGGGAAAGTGGAGGGACAAAAATGACAAGATGGAGGACCAGCCTGGTGGCGCAGTGGATAGTGCGCCGCTTGGGAAGCGCGGCAGCACTCCCGCCCGAGGGTTCAGATCCCACATACAGACCGGTTCCCGCTCACTGGCTGAGCGAGGCGCGGGGGCAGCGCCGAGGGTTGCGATCCGTTGCCGGACACGGAAAAAGACAAAAAAAAAAAAAGACAAGATGGGAAACTGAAGCCTGGCTTTGCTACTGCGGACCTTGGGTAGGTTACTCAGATGGGTACTGTTTCATAATCCTTCTCTTTGGGTCGCTGGGAGAACTCAGCAAGCGGTAGGAAGAGTGAGAGGTGGCAGGGTAGCCTAGAGAGTCTTCCCTGGAACAAGTCTCCAGCTTTCCTACTTCCTGTCATGCTCTCTGTGTGTGGTTTTGTCCCAAAGCCTAGGTTAGCTGACTCCACCAGGAAACTCAGACCACTTGAGACAGATGTGAAGGATGTGTTTTCTGGTGGCCACCACCTCCTTCTGCTTGTGAAGCAGTTTCCTCTCCCAGGAGACAGCAAACTCCCTAACTGCGGCAGCTGGGCCTTAGTCATGTCAAAACACCCAGCACAGGGCCTGCCACAGACAGACCAGATGCCAGTTTTTTTGTTTTTTCTTCTTCCTGTGGTTTGACTTTAGCTTCGAAGAGCCCTGGATGTCATGTTTCATCCTTAGAATGAATTTGACCCGAAGCTAAAAGTCTACATTATTTTCACTAAAACTCTTAAGGCACTTGAATTTCCTGGGAAAGGGTGAGAATGTTTATGGTGTCTCAGCTTTAAAATTGCTGCAAGTCATTTTGGGGAAAACAATGACGCAAGAGCCCTTAGAGTATGGCAGAGGAAGGTGAGGACTGGCATACCAAGTATACTTAATCTGTCCGGGGGGGGGGGGGGG